AGGTGCTTTTATCTCTATTCAATCGATGATGAAACTGAAGCACATATAGTTCAAGTTACTCATCTAAAAATCACATAGTTTGTAAGGGGTTGCGCAGACATTCAGACCCAGGTAGTCTGATTCTTAGGCCTGCTGTATTGTGTTGTATAGTCAGGAGTACCATAAATTTCTTAGGTATTTATACCTCATATTCCTTAGGTTTTCCTGATGTTTAGTATCTTTTATCTTTCTATCTCCTGGGCATCACTATCTTTCCAGTAATCCGAGTTAGAAAACACAGAATCCCTTTGGTTTCTCCCTTTTCCTTACTATTCACATTCAACCCACAGGGTTTCTGCTTTCACAATTAAAAACAATTATCCATTCTTTTCCAATTCTCCTTTTTCCTGATCTAACTTAGGTCTTCCCCATGCTTTGTCTGAACTATGGTCAGAGCCCCTCTCTGTTCTCCCCTCCCTCCTCTCCCTTCCTCAAGCCATACTGGACCCCCAGAACTGTGCCTCCACCATGAAAAAATAAGTTAGAATTCATAGAGGGGAAGGCTTGAGTGCAGAGAAGCCAAGTAGTGTGTCCAAGGTTCTAGGAGAGACGGTAAATATGTAACACTTCCATTCTATTCTCCTTTCATTGCTTCCTTTAAGTCACAAGTGTTCTTATTCAAGTTGCAAGTTCTGTAATAATGAAGGATCATCTAGAACCTTAACACATTATGCTAAGTAAATAAGCAGGTCAAACAAAGACAACTACTGAGACTAACCCAACTCACAGAGACAGAACATGGAATGGCATTTGCCAGGGGCTAGAAGGAGGAAGAAAGGGGATCTATTTTTCAATGGATACAGTGTTTCAGTTTTATAAGATAGAAGGAGTTCTGGAGATGCAGGTGATGGCAGTACAACTCACAAATGTACTTAATGCCATTGAACTGTTCACTTAAAAATGGTTACGATAGTAAATCTTATGTTTTCTAACACCATTTTAATAAAAGAATAATTAAGGATCCAAAAGTTGGAAAGGTTCCATTTTAGACTGAGGACATCCAGTTAACCTTACATAGTCACATGTCTATCAGGTCACTTGATCCTCTTTCACATAGGAAGCATAGTTATGATTGCTATTTCTAACTTTAAGTTGGGGAAATTAAGTTTGGGCACATTGAAGCTCAGTTGTTTCATTAAGTGACCCGTCTGTGGTTCCAAACCTGATAAATGATGGTGGAATGTGAGTTAATGGAAGTTGAATATTTTCCTCAGTGTGGCTTTTAACTTCTGGCAAGTAGCATCAGAAAATTAATAGCAGGATTGGGCTGCCTGCCTGGGGAGGAGTGAGGAAGAACCTTGAAATGTGTAGTGTGTGGCATGGTTTGAATTTGTCCAACCATGACTTGGAAGTTACTCATCCTGGTAAAAGGACAACGTGCTTAGGATCTGAAGGCTGTTTCTGTCAAGGATGTCCTATGAAATCATATAACAATTCTGCATGAATGTCAACCATGGAGAATGAAAAGAGCTTATACCTTGTGACTCATCATCCCTTTCTTTGGAAAACCCCAGTGGAATGGGGATGGAATTTTTCTCTCTGTCTGAAATAACCAAACTTGTGTTTTTTCCTGTTTCAAGGAGAGATTACGCTTTTTAAATGGCATTTTCCCATTTGTGGTGGAATGATATGATGTACAAGATTACTTTAAAAAAAGGCAACAGGTGTGTGTGGGAAATGAGTGGGCATATAGATGAAACAAGATTGGCCCTGGGTGATAATTATCGAAGCTGGTTAATGAGAACATAGGAACTCACAGTACTTACTATAAAGTTAAAAATAGCAATTCTGTAAGGATATTCTGGGGAAAAGAGAGGGGAGGTGGATGCCACGGTCACTTTAGGAAACACTTTTCTAGATCCTTTCCTTGAAAGCCACAGTGCATACTGAAGACTTTGAGAAGTACTGCATTAAAGAGACCTTTTCACACAGTGCAGCCTGCATTCTGACTTACTTTGGAAACCTGTCTTTTTCTCTCCTGCGATATCTGTTAATAAGTGGTCCAACTAGCCATTGATGGGATGCGCTTTGGTGAATCTGTTTTAAAAGATCACGTTGTGACTTTTCATGGGTGAGAACAAGAATCAAGGACAGTTTCCTGACTTTTCTGCTGAGAGCAGCTTTTCAGAGTAGAAGAACTTATTATTATTATTATTATTATTTTTTTGGATTACAGAGGAAAAGCAAGGAAATCATCTACTTATTCTGAGTCAGGCAAATATAGTAAACCTAATGTGTATCTCATACCAGCTCCCTTGCTGGATTATATAGCCACAGCAGAGACAGACTACACCTCATGATTAGGGGCATGGCCTCTGGGGTCAGAAAGCCTGGGTTCAAACCCTATCTTCACCACTCTGTCTGGGTGACCATGAACAAGGTATGTAGCCTCTTTGTGCTTCATTTCTTTTTTTTGTGGGGGGAAGGTATCAAGGATTGAATTTGACCACTGAGCCACATCCCCAGCCCTATTTTGTATTTTATTTAGAGACAGGGTCTCACTGAGTTGCTTAGCACCTTGCCATTGCTGAGGCTGGATTTGAACTCGTGATCCTCCTGTCTCAGCCTCCCAAGCGGCTGGAATTCCAGGTGTGTGCCACCGCACCCAGCTTAATTTCTTTATCTATAAAATAGGAATATGTTTTTTAAAAGAATCTTTTTTAGTTGTAGATGGACACAATATCTTTAATTTATTTATTCATTTTTTATGTGGTGCTGAGGATCGAACCCAGTGCCTCACATGTACAAGGCAAGCGCTCTACTACTGAGCCACAACCCCAGCCCAGGAATATGTTTTTAAAAACTCCTTATGGAATGGTTGCCCGATTTAATAAGTAGAAACACAAGATGCTCAAATATTAAATGGGGCATACTTATGTTAAAAAAAGAGTCTCAGTTTATCTGAAATTAAAATTTAACTGGTCTTCCTGTGTTCTAAGTAGCAATCCTACTTTGTAGAATTGTTGAAGGAATATTATGTGATATTACACATGTTGATGTCTCAGAATAGTACCTGGAATGCAGTTAAGTACTCAGTTAACTATTGTTTATTAACATAGCCACTTTAGTCATTGGCACTTTTCTTTTATTCTGCTTCTGTTAATAATTTTTTTTTTCTTTTTTGGTATTGGGAATTGAAACCAGGGGCGCTTAACCACTGAGCCACATTCCCAGCTAAGTTGTTTAGAACCTTGGTAAGTTGCTGAGGCAGGTCTTGGATTCTCCTGCCTCAGCCTCCTGAGTTGCTGGGATTATAGGGATATAGATGTGTGTCACCATGCCTGACTTCTTAACAATTTTCTAAGGATTTTTTTTTTATCAGTAAACGATTTAAACACAATTCTCTATAGTCAATGAAAAGAAAAAATGACATCGTCTGGTTTAAACCATTAGAAAGCTGTTTTGTTAAGGGCCACAGAAGATGCATTAAACTGCAATTTATTTAACATTAATAGAAGGAAGCCATCGTAGGAAAAATAGTGAACATTAGCTTCATGGGAAATTTGGTGATTTTTTTAGTTCCAAGAGAGCTACCTCTTTATTTTTATTTTCTTAGAAAAGAATTAACTTGTAGTTCCTGAATGCACTTTAACCAAGAGTGGAAGGGAAATGGAGAGAAGTTATCCTGAGCTGTTGGTAAAACCTGGAGGAGAGAATCTACCACGAAGGGTTCACTGTGATATCTCAACAAAGATTGCCGTTCAACCAGCTTGTCCCAGGTTGATAGAGCGGCAGAAATGACAGAATGTAGTACATTTTCCAGAGTCCCTATACTTTTCTAATGCACATGTTGGCAAGGAAACCCGGAATATAAATAAAAGTCTAGCTCGAAAGGGTTTCCTTACAGAAGGTGCCTGATGGGCTGGTTTTCAGCGCTGAAGTCTGACAGCTGGCCATTGTTTGTACACAAACCGGCAATGGGTCTCTCTGTTTTTTCTATCACTTTTATGTTGGTGATTCAGTAAAGATTTACTGGACTAAGAATCATGATTTACATAAACATGTGATATTCAGATTTCCTATAGAAAGCAAAGCAGTAAGTTCTGAATACACCATCCTGAGAGATTGGGAACTTCAAATTTAAGTTTTAAGTTTTGAAAGGTGGCTTTCTTCTAAATTATAAAAAAAAAATGATTTTGAAGCATTGTTACCAAAAAATGCTTATTCATCATCCCACACTCATTATAAAAAAAAAAAAAAAAGCAGGGGTGAGAAAGAGCAAGACAGGCCTAGAGACAGAGTAAAACCCAAGTGGGGGAAAGAAACAGAAAATCCAAGACTTCTACATACCTAGGTGAATCCCCTTTCCTCTGCAAACCCTCTTTCCATACACTTTCTAAACAATGCCTGTAGTCTGCTCTCTTTTGCTGACACCTTGCTTCAGCCACCCACTCTCCCGCTTTGGCTAACACAGCACACAGGCCACGGCTAGGAAAAAGCACCATTTAAAGGACCAACCCAATCTATGTATCAGGAAGTCATTCCAAACAAAGTCCATTTCTAAACGTGATAACATAAGGGGAAGGGGCTGCTAAGTTCAGATAATGACAGTTTTTTTTTTTTTTTTCTGTTTGCCAACAAATAATCATCACATTGAACAAAGCTAGGTTAGCTGCTGGTATATATAAACAGTGCCAACTGCCGCTTCTGCTTCTCAGGGCTGTCAAAAGCAATCCGAAATCAGGGCAGTTCTAAAGTGAGTGAGTCAATAAATAACACCAACAAAGGCAAATGGAAAGAAAAAAAAAAAAGTCAGCACACCTTTTTGTTGTTGTTAGGGCACGTCGTTGTTATGTCTTCATTAAGAGGAACTTGCAAAACTCGATGATTTGCTTTCTGAGTTTAAACAGACCCTGGTCTCCCAGAGACAACAGAAAAGTGAAACTTGATCCTTGACTTTTTTCTGAGACCCTGCTGGTAACACGGGCTCAAAGAGAAAGCAATGACAAAAGCGTACTTACCAATGTCACAAACTTCAACTCCTTGGCTAGCACACCTCGGTCCAGCAGGAGAGAAAGCAGAAGCAGAGAGCCAAGGCTGAGGCTCGCCACCCTGGCCATGTGGACAGGGGCAACGCTCACGTCAGACACGGTTTGCTTCTGGCAGGAGTCCGAAGGTGCTGCTCCCACTTCAAAACCCTTCAGGAGGGAAGCTATTTAATCAAAGGATTGAAAGGGGAGGAGGAGCCAAACTCATAAATAGTAAAATTTCCAGGAAGTTTTGGGCGGGGTTTGGCATGTAAATAATGTCACATAATTTTTGAATTGGAGATCAAGGTCTCCTCCATTTAAGGTAGGACCCCACGAGGTTCACTGGAGGAAATGCTCTTGCTCAAGGTCACACAGTACTTATCAGTTCTTTCTTTTCTTGTTTGCAGTTTACCTTTATTTTTTCTGTAGATGGTCTGAGGTCCCAGCTCTTGCTTTAAAAAGGGTCTGTTCTGACTTTGGAAGCCTGAGAACAGAAATTCTTAATTTTTTTGGGAATCCACAAGCAAAGGAAGAGAAATCTGGAGGGAACTGATGCGTCTGGACATGTTTGGGGTCTGTTCCCGTGCCAAACATGATGTCTGATTTTCTTAAACTCTCCTGTAGCCTAGAGGTGTTTTAAAATTGAAGAAAAGAAGTTTATGTGGGTAAATTTTAGTTCTACCTGAAGTCATAGGAGGATCACCTGTGGCATCTCAAAATTAGGATTGGATTCTGAATCTGACTCAGCTTTTAAAAAGAAACTCTGAAAACCAAACAAACCTACAACTCGGCATTGTCACTGATGGACGTTGGCCAAAAGCCTGTCCTTGGGAGAGCCACACCCTTACCTCTCCAGCCATGATCTCACTGGGGATGCTACAAAAGAAGATGATCCGGATTGATGGAACTCAGCTCTCCATTTTTCTCAGACTGTCTACCCCTTCCTAGGTTCAAACAACACTGACCCTGTACACAGATGAGATTTTGCTGGAGTTGCGGGCAGCACTGCCTGTTGTGATGTTTCCATACCAAGGGGCAGAGGGAGAACAATGGTTTTCCCACAACCTATTCCCTGGGTACATTACACTTGACCTGTGACTGGAAGTTTCTGTTGTTATGTGATCATAGGATGCTCTGGAATGTGGTGTGTGGGAGACCATGGTTCTTCAGGTATGGGGAAATAAAAGCACAGAATTAGTGTGGTACAATTAGACCTTTAAGGGTTACATCCCTCACCTGTTCAGTACCCATGGTCAATTTTTTTTCTTTCTTTCTTTCTTTTTTTTTTTTTTTTGGTATCAGGGATTGAACCAGGGGCACTCAACCACTGAGCCACATCCCCAGCCCTGTTTTGAATTTTATTTAGAGACAGGGTCTCACTGAGCTGCTTAGGGCCTTGCTTTTGCTGAGACTGGTTTTGAACTCGCAATCCTCCTGCCTCAGCTTCTGGAGCCACTGGGATTACAGTCTCCCATTGTCATTTTCAATGGGTGAGATTTTGAGGAGATGGGTGCAAGGAAAAGGAAACAAGATTGGAGAGATTGTCCAGTTCAGAGTAGACAGGCAGCTGCCACACCACTCCCTGCTGTATTCACTAGGCAACCTGAGAAAAGCTTCAGCACCTCAGTTCCCATGTATATTCCTTAAAAGGCATCAGCTGCCTGATTTGGTTGAATGGCCTATTTCTTCATTTTCAGCCTGGCTCTTTCTTCTCTTTGCTTGGCTTGCCCTTGGACTAATGCCTGAGACTATTTTAGCTCTATTCTTTGCTCTTGCTGATAACGACTGTTTCTCTAACCTACCTGTGCTATGCTGCATGTGTTGGAGACTCCTTTCTGACCTGGCCGGACTTCCTCAGTGGTACCTCCTCTAGGCACTTCTAGCCCCCCAATGAGAACAATAACAACAGTGACAAGATGTTTTCTTAAACAGAGAACCAGAAAAACATGGTTTGAATTGAACACCATTCAACTCAAATTTAATTTCAGTTGAACTAAGTGGGTGGTTTATATTTCTTTTCTATCTGAGCATCATCCTGGCTTTTACTTTGATCATCAAGTTATAAGATCATAAAGGCAGAATTCTGAAAAACCTGAACACCATGACCTTGAAAGATCCTCTACTCAGATAAATCCAGTTTAGAATCTTCTGTGGCCTCTTGAACTCATAAGTCTTTGCAAAGAATCAAGTGTCATTTGGGATAAACATATGGAAATCGTAATATCGAAAGTGACATTGAGCCAGGCATGGTGGGGCTCACCAGTAATTCTAGTGACTTGGGGAGGCGAAGGCAGGAGGACTACAAGTTTAAAGCCAGCTTCAATAATCGAGTGAGGCCCTAAGCAACTCAGCAAGACCTTGTCTCAAAATAAAAAGGGCTGGAGATGTGGCTGAGTGGTTAAATGCCCCTGGTATCAAAAACCACAACAAAAAAGTGACATTGAAAAACACTAGAATGTCTTCATATGACAGTAATTTTCCACTAGTAGAACTTACTGGCTGAATCACCTGGTTTCTTGTAGTACTTCTTTCTTCATAGGTCAAGTGCTCAAACCCTAATTAATGCAATGTTTTATGAAAATTCCATATTTGGAGCAGGTTGGGTTTTTTGGAAAGCAGACTCAGGGTGGAGCAAAGGAAGAAGATGAACTGCAGTGAAATGCTAATGACAACCTCTAGCTGATCCTGCTGGGGGTTCGGGAGATGGGGGGACTCTTTGATTGTCCTGAATTGGGGTGGGGGAGCCAGGCTGTTTCCTCCCAGCATTAGCCAAACACCGGATTCAATCTGCTGTGGTAGGGAGCACAACTAGGGTAGGGAGAAGGTGGCTATCTTTTGAAGGCAGATCTCCAAGCGTTTGCCAGCTGAAGAATGTCACACAACAACTCTCCAAATCTGGGGAGAATCAGTACTTCAGCACCTGAGAGGGCACTGGGGTGGTTTAACAGAATTTTGCCAATGAAAAAATATTTATAGGAAAAAATATGATCCATGGTAAATCAAGAGCTTTGAAAGTCCTGAGTGTGCTCGGACAGGGAGAGTCTGGGTGTGTGAGATCCATCAGTGGGTATATGGCTGCTAGCCAGGAAGAAAGGCTGTTTCCCTGTGTGGATTTCTATGGTTTGCGCAATTGTATTATTGGACTCTCAGTGCCTTGTGGACTACTGGGCACTCAGTAGTACTGATTGGCCAACCCTGGATATAAAAGCAAATTATTGTATCAGAGCCTTGTTATAATATGAGCTACTCTTAGGCAAAATTTAATAAGATGGGTTTAAAATAAGGGTTCTTCTCTCTTTTTCCTTTTTTTTTTTTTTTTTTTTTTTGTGTGTGTGTGTGTGTATGTATGTGGTACTGGGGATTGAACCCAGGGCCTTGGCAAGCACTCTACCAGTTGAGCTATATCCTCAGCCCCAAAAGTTCATCTCTTAATCCATCATTGTGTGTGTGTGTGTGTGTGTGTGTGTGTGTGTGTGTTTTCCTTTGTCTATGGCATAAAATAACCACTTTATTAATTAATATTTAGACAAATATTCCTCCACATAATAACTTACTACACCATTTAAAATAAGATGTGTAGCTGGGTATGGTAGACCCGACTTTAATTCCACCAACTCAGAAGGCTGAGGCAGAGGATTGCAAGTTCAGATCAGCCTCAGCAACTTAGTGAGACCCTGTCTCATAATAAAAAATTAAAAGGGCTGGGGATGTAGTTCAGTGGTAAAGTGCCCTTGGGTTCTTCCAAAATTGTATATACCTTAAGGGGTTCCTGGAATGGGAGAACACTTGCAAAAGTAAAGAAAGTGTTAGAATCTTTTTTTAACCTAAAAAAGTGAAGATAAAAGCTTTACAATGGAATTTTATGTTACAAGGAACTATTTTAAAGTTAAATATTATTTGGTTATAAAATGGAGCAAAGTACTAATACATGAGTGAACCTTAAAAATTTATGTCAGGTAAAGAAAACTAGTCACAAAAGATGACACATAGATTTCATTTATATTAAATGTTTAGAATAGAAAATTCTTGGGAGACAAAGTAGATTAGTCTTTGCCTAGGGCAGGGGGCAGGAGAATGGGGTGGGGGATGGCTAAAAGATACAGGGTCTATTTTTGTGCTGCTAAATATTCCCTAAAATTATGGTGATACATAACTCTGAACATACTAAAATTCATGAAACTGTACACTTTAAATGGATTTAACTATACAGCATATTCATTATATCTCAAAAATACTGTTATGAAAATGATTTAATACACAATCAATATTCTAATTTTTAATATAAAGAAGATAATAGGAATGTATCCTTAACCAAAAACATTTATTATATGTATGTTAATAATGTATATTATATTGATAAAGATCATGACTGAACAAGTTTGGAAACCACTTATCTATTAACGTATGAAAGAAAACCCTAGAATATTAACGTTACCTATTAAACAGGTAACGTGGTGCATGCCTGTAATCTCAACGGCTTGGGAGGCTGAGGCAGGAGGATTGTGAGTTCAAAACCAGCCTCAGCAATGGCAAGGTGCTAAGCAACTCAGTGAGATCTGTCTCTAAATAAAATACAAAACAGGGCTGGGGATGTGGCTCAGTGGTCGAATGTCCCTGAGTTCAATCCCCCAGTACCAAAAAAAAAAAAAAAAAAGTTACCCATTGCTACGAAACAATGGAACACAAACTCTGTGACGGAAAAGAAGGTGCATTTATTATCTCACATTTTCCCTGAGTCAGGAGTCCTGCTCAAGGTCTCTGACAAGACCACAGTGTTGGCCAGGCCTAGGTCACTTTCCAGTTCATGTGGTCCTTGTCAGAATTCAGTTCCTTGAAAGCTGTTGAATAGAGGGCATCAGTTCTGGAGTTGCTAGGTGTCCCCTGCAGGCTGCCTTCAGTTCCTTGTGCCCTGTGTCCTTCCAATATGGCTACCTAACTCATCAAAGTATGCAAGCAGAGAAGGCAGTAGAGAAACATCAGTGATCATTTTTTAGTTGTTGTTGAACTCTATCCTGTGTTAAAAATAAAAATCCTGGAAAGGTTCATAAAATACAGATTCCTATTTGGCATATTAGATTACAATGTTAGTGTTTGATTCCAGTTTAAAATATATGATTAAAGAATTGACACAGGTCAGTGCCCTACTCCTGTAATACCAGCAGCTCTGGAGGCTCAGGCAGGAGCATTGCAAGTTCAAAGTGAGCCTCAGCAACTTAGTGAGGCCCTAAACAACTCAGTGAGATCCTGACTCAAAGGGACTGGGGATGTGGTCAATGGTTAAGTGCCCCTGGGTTCAATCCCTGGTACCGAAAAGATTTGATATAAATATTTTAAATTGAAACTGTTATCACCCTTAAACAGTTTAGAGATTTTTAACTCATCATGTATAGAAATTTAATTTGAGTATTGAAATCTATTTTATTGATTAGGAAGATAGTTTATTAATCCAACACTTATTGTAATAAAATGTAATTATTCACTTTATAAAAATTTTTAAATATGCCAGTTAACATTTGCTAGAAGCAAAATAAAATTTACATGTTGATCTTAAAAAATGAAAGTAAATATACCAATTCCTGGGCTTCCCAGTTTAGAAACAAAATAAAATTTACATGTTGATATTAAAAGATGAAAAAAAAAAAAAACAACCAATTCCTGGGCTTCCCTCTCAGAAATTCTGATTCAGTAGATTTAGGTAAGTACAGTGCCCTACCAAGATTTAATGGTACCTGAGGCAAAAGGAGAAAAATCAAAAATATCAATTCTGTCTTAACATTTTGGTTTTTCATTAATAATGGATTGTCTAACATTGATTTTTTTTAAAACATTGAATTACAATAATGTAATTACAATAATACCAAAAAGATTTGATACAAATATTTCAAATTGAAACTGTTATCACCCCAAACAGTTTGGAGATTTTTAGCTCATCATGTATAGAATGATTATCTTGATTATGGAGGATTTTTGGTCACCCCTTAAATTTTGTACCCAAAGTGAATACCTCACCCATCTCATTTTTCATTTCTAGCTGTGACTCTAAGTGGGAAGACCGAACAGAATTACCTCTTTTATCTATCTATCTATCTATCTATCTATCTATCTATCTATCTATCTATCTTTTTATTTGTAGTTGGACATAATGCCTTTATTTATTTCTTTATTTTATGTGGTGCCCAGGATTGAACCCAGCGCCCTGCACGTGCTAGGCGAGCGCTCTACCGCTGAACCACAACCCCAGCCCCTTCTTT